ACTAAGATTGAAGGACAACAACTTGGCTGTTCCCCTTCCCCAATTCCCCAATAAAATCTAAAAATAAAAATTAAAATAAAAAAAAACCAAAGTATATATTTTTGGAGAGAGTCGATACTTGGGACCTTCTTCAGCCCACCCCTTTATTTAACAGATAGAAGGTCCAAGGCCCAGGGCAACCCTGACATGCAGAGTCTTGAGGAGAACGCTCAGCCTAAAGCTCTTTCACCCCTTTGGCAAATGGGGGTTTGTGATTTTGAGGCCATGGTGCCCTCACCCATTCATTCAAGAACTTAACTTCTTCCTGACTCCATCTCTTTCTTGGGACCCAGAGGCTAGCTCACATGATGCCAGCTCTGGTCAGATCAAATCTGACACTCTGGTGGTCTCCTGGGGCTCCAGGCCTGCCCCCCGAGTGGGATGGGGTGGGGGCAGCCAAGGAGACTAGGAGTTAGGTCTGGTGTCCCATTTCGACTCTGGCTGGGCACCCTGACGCGCCTTCCAGAAAGACTATCTCCCAGTGGGGCCATCCGCGACCCTACTTGGCCATTAATATTTATCAGATCTGAAAGCTGAGCCACTGGAGAAGTGAAAAACAGCCGTGAACAGGTGCCATGGTGGCTGGCACCCCGGCCCAGGCTGTGCACAGCTAGGGGGGCTTAGTTGAGGGTAAGAGGGTAGATGAGGCAGTCTGAGCAGGGGGCCTCTTCTGGGGAGGCAAAGATCTCAAAGGAAGGAAGCAGATGATCAAGGAAGCGGACACCTCATTATAAGAAGCTGGAGGTTTCCTCCCTCTGTGGGTTTGTGAGGCCAGAGGGTGGGGAGGAGTCGCAGGGTCCCTGGCCTGGGGTAGAAGCCAGGAGCCAGAGGGTGGGTTTGGCGGGGCTGCATTGGCCTCCTGCCTGATTCCTTTAGGGGGGGGCACTTCACATCTGCTCTCTCCCCAGGAGATAGTGTGGTCTTTTCAAAAGTGCAAATCTGGTTGTGGCCTCCCTCCCGCTTAAAATCCTTCTCAGGTTTCATGCCTCTCAGGTGAAAGATCAAACTCCCTATTTGCTGGCCCCTGCCCATGTCTCCAGGAGACCCCAGGACCCTTTGGGCTCATTGTGCCTTCCTAAGGGGCACCACAGGGCCTTTGCATGTGCCGTTTTAATTGCCTAGAACTTGATTCGCTCCCTTCTGTGCCTATTTAATGCCTGCTTGTGCCAGACATAGCCACTCCTTACCCTTCTACCCTGCAGGTGGACCCTA